AACCAAACCCTAAATGGCTGAGCCAAGTAATGATGTAAGTAGAATGATCCCCCCCCAACCAAACCCTAAATGGCTGAGTCAAGTAATGATGTAAGTAGAATGATCCCTCCCCCCAAAACAAACCCTAAATGGCTGAGTCAAGGAATGATGTAAGTAGAATGGCCCCTCCCCCCCAAACAAACCCTAAATGGCTGAGCCAAGTAATGATGTAAGTAGAATGATCCCCCCCCAACCAAACCCTAAATGGCTGAGTCAAGTAATGATGTAAGTAGAATGATCCCTCCCCCCAAAACAAACCCTAAATGGCTGTCTCGAGTCCTTGATTGAGTCAAGTAATGATGTAAGTAGAATGATCCCTCCCCCCAACCAAACCCTAAATGGCTGAGTCAAGTAATGATCTAAGTTGAATGATCCCTCCCCCCCAACCAAACCCTAAATAGCTGAGTCAAGTAATGATCTAAATTGAATCATCCCTCCCCCCCAACCAAACCCTAAATAGCTGAGTCAAGTAATGATCTAAGTTCAATGATCCCTCCCCCCCAACCAAACCCTAAATGGCTGAGTCAAATAATGATCTAAGTTCAATGTTCCCTCCCCCCAACCAAACCCTAAATGGCTGAGTCAAGTAATGATCTAAGTAGAATGATCCCTCCCCCCCAACCAAACCCTAAATGGCTGAGTCAAGTAATGATGTAAGTAGAATGATCCCTCCCCCCCAACCAAACCCTAAATGGCTGAGTCAAGTAATGATCTAAGTTGAATGATCCCTCCCCCCAACCAAACCCTAAATTGCTGAGTCAAGTAATGTATAACCCCTCCCCCCCAACCAAACCCTAAATGGCTGAGTCAAGTAATGATCTAAGTACAATGATCCCTCCCCCCCAACCAAACCCTAAATGGCTGAGTCAAGTAATGTATAACCCCTCCCCCCCAACCAAACCCTAAATGGCTGAGTCAAGTAATGTATAACCCCTCCCCCCAACCAAACCCTAAATGGCTGAGTCAAGCAATGATCTAAGTTAAACATCCCTCCCCCCCAACCAAACCCTAAATAGCTGAGTCAAGTAATGATTTAACCCCTCCCCCCCAACCAAACCCTAAATGGCTGAGTGTCAAGTGTCAAGTAATGATGTAAGTAGAATGATCTGTCCCCCCCAACCAAACCCTAAATGGCTGAGCCAAGTAATGATCTAAGTTGAATGATGCCTCCCCCCCAACCAAACCCTAAATGGCTGAGTCAAGTAATGATCTAAGTTCAATGATCCCTCCCCCCCAACAAAACCCTAAATGGCTGAGTCAAGTAATGATGTAAGTTCAATGATCCATCCCCCCCAACAAAACCCTAAATGCCTGAGTCAAGTGATGATCTAAGTTCAATGATCCCTCGCCCCCAACCAAACCCTAAATGGCTGAGTCAAGTAATGATCTAAGTTTAATGATCCCTCCCCCCCAACCAAAACCCTAAATGGCTGAGTCAAGTAATGATCTAAAGTTGAATGATCCCTCCCCCCCAACCAAACCCTAAATGGCTGAGTCAAGTAATGATCTAAGTTGAATGATCCCTCCCCCCCAACCAAACCCTAAATGGCTGAGTCAAGTAATGATGTAAGTAGAATGATCCCTCCCCCCCAACCAAACCCTAAATGACTGAGTCAAGTAATGATCTAAGTTGAATGATCCCTCCCCCCCAACCAAACCCTAAATGGCTGAGTCAAGTAATGATCTAAGTTGAATGATCCCTCCCCCCCAACCAAACCCTAAATGGCTGAGTCAAGTAATGATCTATGTCAAGTAATGATCTATGTCAAGTAATGATCTAAGTAATGATCAGTGTTGATGATTTTCTCTGTAATGTGGAGACAATTGCATGGTGGAACGCAGGGGGGGTGAGAGGTTTTAAAGGAATAGGGTCGCAAGTGACCGTTTTTTAGGGTCGCAAGTGACCGGGGATTTTAGGGTCACAAGTGACCGTTTTTTAGGGTCGCAAGTGACCATGGACCCCCCTCTCGTCGGTTGCAAGCCGACCTAGATGCTGGAGTACATGCAAGAGCTGCCAGGAAAGCAGAAAAGAGTAGGCAGAGAGCTGCTAGTCATCGAGCAGCCACTGCACAAGATAGAACAGCTAGCTTCAAGAACTATGAGCTGGCAACCCATGGACAAGCCAACCCTGACAAGTGGGACAGGGAAGACATTGGAGATCTTCCTGAACCTCCCAAGGCAAGAAAGTTGGAACCCAAGCGCCATAGAGGAGGACATCACAGGTCTGAAAGACGAAGAGCAAATGAAGCTAGAAAGAAGGCCAACGAGGACAAGATGAAGGAGATGAGAAAAGAAGGAATCCCAAAATGGATTCATGACAAGTTCGAGATTTCCTCTGAAGAGACCACTGATGAGGATGAATTTGTCAGCAGACTTGAGAAGCTGCAGAAAGATCCTGAAGTTCTCAGCAAGTTGGACAATGTCTTGAAGGAGGCCTATGAGAAGGCTTATGGTGAAATTCCATCATCGGAAGAGGTCGAATCAGACGATGTACCATTCAACCAGGAACCTGCACCAGGCATGGAAGATGTAGATCGTCATTGGGAGACTTCCT